GAGGTGAGACTCGTTCTAGTGCCTCTCCCCCTTGGAGCTTCCACAGCCTCCCCACTTGTCTTCAGGCTGAGTCTTCCTCTGGCCACTCCACCAGACTCACTCACTGGGTGCAACTGGCCTTCTCTAACCCAGGCTACGACTCTGGGCATTTGCTGATTGTAGTCCAAGTGTTCTCAAAACTTTGGCCAAAGAAAGTTCTGTGAGGCTGGAGCTCTCTGGTTGGACCCCATTTGACCAGGAGTTTCCTTCTGGGGATCTTCAGTTTAAAAATGAAGACATGAAGACTCAGAGAGTTCAAGTCATTTGCCCAAGGTCACATGGCTAGTTGCAGACCTGGGATTTGAACATAAATGTTCTGGTTCCAAAGTTTATTTCTTACCTCTACACCACACTATTCAGTTCATTAACTAAAGTCTATTCCCAAACACATCAAGTTGCTGGAAACATAGTTTTATATGCACTAGGAAATAATATCACAGGGAACACTGACTGTTGCTATTTTCAAATTTACATACAACTGTAGGAATATTTTGCCTTTTTTCTTAAATTATCCTTTATGCAAATGTGATTATTGAGCTTCACTTGTTATGAAAATGAACTAATTTGCAGGATGTGTCAGCCAGGATGCACCCCAAACTACATATGGCGCACTGACAAAAGTGGTTTCCCCATCAAAATTACTTATAAATATCTCGTGCCCTTTTGACATTCAACATAAACTCTGACTTTGGTAGGTAAACCCACAGACTCACCGTCCAATCGTATAGGATTCATAACTGTGTTCCAACTTGATGAACAAAGGGAGGCCAGGGGTGATGGCCTGAACTCAGAATCCCAAGCTCCTGGTCCACCTTCGGATTTAGCTTTTCTTTTATCTTGTTTCCTTACGCCCTCTTGTGGTCAAAAATGAAGTGTGTACTCAGAAGGCCTATTGTAAACTCCAGGTACTACCAATAGATTCGAGAGACACTTCCCATTTGGGGGTGGAAATCCCCCACAGAACAACACTCCCCTTCCCATAAATCTATGTACTTCCGAACCTTGTAAAAGTGAGCTTAATTTCTCTAATTATAAGAGAAATACATAGTTCAAGATTTTGGAAATTGGAAAGTACAGAAAAGTGTGAAGAAAATAAACACAACACTCTGACCTGGCAGCAGTAGCAACTGTCAAGTTTTGTTAAGTATTCCTAATTTTTTTTAAAGATTTTATTTATTTATTTTTAGAGACGGGGGAAGAGAGAGAGAGAGAGAGAGAGAGGGAGAAAGAAACATCAATGTGCAGTTGCTGGGGGCCATGGCCTGCAACCTATGCACATGCCCTGACTGGGAATCGAACCTGTGATACTTGGTTCACAGCCCGTGCTCAATCCACTGAGCTACACCAGCCAGGGCAGTATTCCTAATTTTTTATACGCAGGTACGTATACACATATATATCACATTTATTTTTAAAATATACAATACAAAATAATTAGTTTATCACCAGCTCCTGAACTAGCCATTATTAATGCCTGCACCTCTCCATGCACACCTCCTCGGCCCAGTCCCTCTGTCTGCTGCCCGCTCAGAGGTAAACAGTGATGTTTATGGTTATAATTTCCTTGTTTCTTCTTAAAGTAAAATTAACACATACACACTGTACATATACTTGTTTCTTCTTATTATTTTTCCCCATTGAGCCTTTCCCCCAGATCATCAAATATTATCAGAACATCTGATTGTACCATAACCCAGAATATGGATGTATTATAGTTTTTTTAACAAATCCTCTGAATGTTGGCCATGTTTGTTATTTTAAACTTTTTGCTACTCTAAATCATTCCAGCTCTTCAAGATAAATCTTTGCACAAACCTATGATGATTTCTCTGAGATGTGTCCTTAGACATGGAATTTTAGGGTGTGATGTATTAAGCCTTTGACCACTCTGTCCCTCTGCACTGGAAGCCATTTCTGTGCTGCCTGCCTGGGTCATTCTGATGTCAGTTTTTGGAAGAGCCATTAGTCTCCTCCCGATGCACAGTGGGAGCCTTTACTGCTGGGTGCCTGTGCTCTGCTGCCTCCTTGTAGAAGTTCAGGCACACAGTTTGTGCTTCCTCTTCTTCAAGGATGCCTAGGGAATCCTCACCCCTCAAAATTTTGTGGTTCTTGAAAACATGCAAGTGGGCCCTTTTCCTTTAAAGAAACAGGGAATTGATACCACTGACTTCAGTCTTGATTTTTCTTACACCTAGGGTGATTGAGCTACCAATTCTTCACAGTGAGGCTTCTGTTCATAGTTGGTTTTTTTCTTTTCATTTTTGAAGATAAAAGTATACTAACCTGAGATTTTTCTCTCAAAAAGGCAAGGTAGGCAGCGGGTTATCTTGACTAGAGTGGGGGACCCATATGGGGAACTTGCTCACTAGGTGACACCATCTTCCTGGGCTTCTGGACCCACACAGCACTGACATACTGGGGCGTTTCCTCGTACATGAGCCCAGAGCACGGTGCCCTGTAAATAGTAAGCACTTAGCAAATGTCTCACACATAAGGGAGCCTAAAGTCCTCTGCTCTACAACTGTGATTCTAGAGATTTTGTCACAGAAGAATGCCATGTTATTAGGACTTAGACTGAGTTTTCTATACTTCCCAGGAGTTTAGATCCCAGTATAGGCAGGGAAATGAGAACTGGCTGTAGCTTTGAAGTGGCCAAGGCCAGAGACCTGATATGGACCTGGATGCAGGTAAGTTGACAGGGCCAGAGGATAGGAAGCACCCTCTGCAGCAGCTGTGTTCCTTAACAGTTTCTTTCATGACCAGATGTAGGGAAGTGTAGTGGAAGGGAGGAAGTTTCTCCTTATGAACTGGGATGTGTGCAGTCTGGTCCTTCAAGAGGAAGCTAACAGGAGCCATCTTTGTTTATTTATTTTTTAAGATTTTATTTTTAGAGAGAGGGAAAGGGGAGGAGAAAAGACAAGGAGAAAAGCACTGATGTGTGGTTGCCTCTCTCACAGCCCCTACTGGAGACTTGGCCTGCAAACCAGGCATATGCCCTGACTGGGGATCGAACCACAACCGTTTGGTTTGCAGGCCCATGCTCAATCCATTGAGCTACACCAGCCAGGGCCGGAAGCCATCTTTAGACAGCAGAAGCCAAAGGAAGGAATGTTGCCAGTTTCCCAAAGTGCTCCTTACAGCCTTTAATGGCCTGCTGTACTGACAAAAGCAGTTCTGTGCCTAAATACAGGCCATATTTGTGGTTCTAATATTCATACATATGAATAAATATAGGTTTTGTTTGTAAAACTTTTAAACTCATTGCATATTAATTTTGATCTGTGTTAGTCACTAGTGAACATTTTCCACATGCCAGGTAGATTGTTATGTGCTATGAATGCATTATTTCATCTAGTATCCATGACAATACTCTCAAGTAGATCTTACTCAGTTGTTTCACAGGTGTAGAAACTCAGGCATGGAGAGGTTAAGTTGCTTGTCTAAGACCACAGAGTTGGCAGGTCTGAGCCACAAACCCAGCCTCTTTTGACTCCAAAGCTCATTTTATTTAGCCTGCAAAGTCATAGTGCTTTGCTTCTGACATTCATCATATTCTGTCTCAATTGGCAAGCATCCGTCCAAGTTCTGCATTATGAGTCTTTCGAGAGCATTTACCTTACTTCTCTCTTATTAGCCTGAAATGCCATACACACAGCAGGCAAACAGTGATGTTTGCTATTGGTTCGAGTAGCAACCTGGTCTGTGGACTGAACATCACAGACTGTGTGTAGGGGTTCTCAACTTTTATTTAGAAAATTTTAAACTTACAGGAAAGTTTCAAGAATAATGCAGTGAACATCCACATATCTTCTACCTAGATTCATCAATTGGTTAACATTTTGTACCTTTGTTGTCTTTTTCTTGCCCTTTTGAGTCAGTTGCAGACACATGCTATTTCACTCCTAAGTACTTTAGTATGTGTCTCCTAAAACCAATGTCCTGTCGACATAACCAAGATACAGTTATTGTTCTCAGAAAATTTCACATTGTTGCAATTCAAACATACTTTACATTCAAATTGTCCCAATAATGTTCCTCAATAGCTGAGGTTTGTTGTTGTTTATCCAGGGTACAATTGGGGGTCACATTGCTTTTAGTATATTTTTCATCTCCTTTAATTTAGAACAGTTCAATAGTCTTTTTCTTTGTTTTATGAAATTTACATTTTTAAAGAGACTGGGCAGTTGTTTTGCAGAATGTCCCTCAATTTGAGTTTGTTTCCTCATGAACAGAGACAAATTGCATACTTTTGGCAAGAATAATGATCGTTCTGTCCTCCGTGCATCACATCAGGGAGCACATGATGTCAGTCTGATTTCTTTGATGTAAAGGTTCTCTTTTCTCTTTAGTAATCTGATGGTGATACTTTGAAACGGCATAAATATCCTCAACCATTCTGCATCCACTGATAATTTTTGCCTGAATCAATTGGTGGTGGTTCCACAGTGATGATTTTCTACAATATTTCTACAATTTCTTCTACATTAGCTGGTATTCTTCTCTAAAGAGGTTTCCCTCCCTCTCTCTCCTTTTGAATAATAATCTACCTACGGCTGCCAGTGTGTCTTGAATACATGACGTCACTCGCATCCCTCGGGGCTTGTGTTTTCTCATCCTTAAGGTGAGATGACATATGGGTCACATTCTTGAATTTTAGTCAGTCGTCGACTTTCCCATAAAGCTCTGCAAAACATCCGTCAGGGAACGAAAAGGCCAGGGTCAGACGCGCCAGGCCCTAGCATCCACCAGCAGAGTACCACAACCCCTCCGCTCGTCTTCCCCGCGGCCCCTTCCGTGACAACAGTAACTAGTAACCTCCCAGCGTTCTCGCGAGAGCGAGCCCCTTCAGGAATAAAGGTGCGATTCCCCCAGGCTTCTCCCGCCTGGCGTCAATATTTGCCCTGGGCACCTGCGTGCCGGGTTCTGCCGCGCACGCGCGCACACCAGACAGTTGGTGGTGTTGGTTCGCTCCAGCTGTCCCTCTCCGCACGCAGATCCGCGGCGCGCGACCCCGGTGTGACACCACGGCGCTTACGCGGCGCGGAGGGAGGCAAGGGCGCGCAGGCGCCGCAGGGGGAGTAAGGCCGCGCAGGCGCGGACGGCGTTGGTTGAAGACCTTCAGCGTTGCCCTAGCGGAGTACCTGCTCTCTGGGTGGAGGTGAGGAGAGCCGAGTCTGCGGGCCGGGTTGGGGGTGCTGGGGCTGTCTGTCACCACCGATACTGGGGCCCGACGAGAGGCAAGCCTGCGGAGGGGTCGGGAGGGAGAGAGCAGCCCAACGGGGCGCGGCGGGCCGGGCCGGGCCGCGGACGGCAAAAGGGACCTTGCTCCCCTGGCCGCTTCAGGTGATGGAGCCGCCGCACCCTCGGGGCGGGCGGCTCCGCGAGCGCTGAGCCTTGACTCTCCCTCCTTTGGGTGTGCCCACGGGACTTTGTTTCCAGGTGTCAGGCCAGAGAGGAGGTTGGTTTCTGGGGAAGTTGGGTCATCGAACCCCCAACCCACTCCCTGCTCCCAGCTTCCTGTCAGGAATTGTTCAGCATTAGGGGAGCCTTCCACTCACCGCCAAAGGGGGGATGCTGTAAGTGCAACTTAAATAGGAGAAATGAGGAACAAATCAGGGTCTTTACTGACTGTGTGGTTATTGAACAAAGTAGTATTACCTAGTGAACGCCCTCCCTTCCCCCGATTGCATCTAATGCAACCTCGGTACGTTATGCATGGCTTTAACAACAAGTGCGTTTTGTAGAGCTAATAGACACATGTGATGATAGCTTTACCCTCGAGTAACGTGAAGTCTCTGTGTCTTTTCGATTTTTTGCTTGATCATACCAGTCGTGCGTGTCGTGTCCCATCAGAGTCGTGGGCCTGTAAAAGTAAGCTTGAACCAGGCAGAACTGAGATCAGTTAGTAAACTAAACCAGCTGCACGACTTTTGCAAATGTCTGACAGTGGTTTTTGAAAAGAAGGCAGAATGCTGAAAGATTGTGATGAGTCCCCGGATGGATGTTTCTAAACATTTAAATGCACTTGTTCTTTGGTCAGGAGGTGAAAAACCAGACTGTAAAGCCTCAACATTTCTATGTGAATGTATAGTGCCTGTTTTCTATACTTACCTTCCCAAATTATAGTCTTCTGGTAAAATTTTAACATACCAGCATCAGGTGTGATCATAAAAAATTACACCAGATTGCAGTTGGCAAAGCGTAAAATGTATAGAATTGATCGTTTGAATACAAAGAGCTGAATTGTAAAATAATTGCTCTGGAAGTGAACTCTGAAGCTTGTGACTTAGAATAAGGTTTTATTGTGGTATGAGTCAGTGCACTTATCCTGACCCTTTTCATCTTTTCTTACTCTTTCCCTCTCACCGTGTGTGTGGGTGGGTGTGTATTACACTGTTCCCTTAACATATAATGCCGTATTTGACAGGCTTAGGTAAAGAAACAAAATTTTAATCAATTCACAATTAAGAAGCGCATCATAAGTGTATGTTATGTTCAGGTGTGATGGTTTAGGCAGAAACTTAGCAGAAGGCCAGATTAAGATGTAGGCTAAATACAAGTACACATTCGTTTGAATGTGCAGGTAGTTCAGTCATAGTAATCGCAAGGACTAGCTGGTGCTCTGGAATTTTCTGGTATAGTGATTGGGGCTAATGAGGCTGTCTCAGGTGGTTTTGCAATTGTTTACACGTGGCTTTTGAGACCGCTGCAGGAGATTTCCCTTCACCCAAACAGGGCAAAGGAATGGTATGTTCAGCAGTGTTAACAGAACTGAGAATTTCCACATGAGAGCCATAATGTCAGCAGAAAATCTGGATATAAGTAGGCAAGATGAAAAGTCAAGGCACCTTTGAATTTTGAAGGCTTTAACGTTAGAGTGTACACCAATTTTGGGGAAGCAGATTACTGTAGGTAGGTTTTATCCTATTTCTGGTTGATAGGTAAGATACAGCACTTTATTTTAAGAACAGCTTTGAGAGAGGGCATATTCTGGATAAGTGAATACATTTCAATTAGTATGGTAATTCTTACAATTAAGAGCTAAATTTCAGAGTGGTAAAAACATTAACCCTGAAGATTTTTAATGCATCTGTGTAAGCTTACAGTTCCTTAACAAATTTACCTTGTTGCCTAATAGAGCTCTTTGACTTTACAACAGCCCACAAAATGTTTTTCTAATGTAGATTTTCCTTTTCTTAAAGCAAGAAGGTTAAATTAACACATTTCTCCTTCAGCCTATGGGAAATTTCTTTTCTTTGAAATGTGATTATGAAGATGGCCTCTGGGCTTTCCTGGGAAAAACCCTTTTATTCTCCTTTTTGGGAAAGCTTTTAAAGGAACTGGATGCCTTCTCAGCTTTGCTTGCATTAGGGTATAAGCTTTAATGATGCAAAGGAAGAGAAAACCTCTTCTCACAGCATTAAATAGTAGAAGGACAAAGGATGAATAAATACTAAATGGTTATTTTTATTCCATTGTCCCCATTTTTCTTGATAAGATATGTGTAACACACCAACTTACTGTGACCTAGGAAAGGCTGCCAAGGATGTCTTCAACAAAGGATATGGTAAGTATGGTTTTGTAAATGTTCGATTTTGGTTAAAGGTTAATATTGAATGCCTGTTATACAGTGCTGGCAAAATGAAGTAAAGTAACATTAATGTGTCTCACAAGGTTTAAGGGGATAACTATTAACAGGTTATTAGACTTCATTTTTTAGAGGTAGAGTCCTACAGGCTTTACAAACAATTGTGTGTGTATATGTGTACACACATACACACACACACACACACACACGCATAGTTAACATTATCTGTAAAACCAAATGATGTAAATCTGTAATATGTATACCTCTCTGGCTAGCCCTGGTGACCTTTAAAGTAGGGGTGCATTTTTCCTTCTCCACATAATGGCAGTGTTTTTGTGGGAGTGAAGACACAACTTTTGACCACTTTGCAGTAACATATTTTTTGATCCAAATGGACATTTATTTTTAGTTTTTAAAGTTTAGTCTTTAAACTTAACTTATTGTGTTGTACACATTTGATTTTTTTATTAACTAATAAAAAAATTTTATTTAGTAATGTTAATTGTGTATATTTTAAGCTTGTGTATATATCTGCATGGTATTTTCTAGTAATCCTGGTTCTCAGAATAGTACATATTCCTTTATCACTTGTTCTTTAACTTACCATTTTAACATACGTTTAGTATTTTGAGGGGGTTAAAAATTATGCTTAAGCTTTTCATTATAATTCAGTTTCTCTTGAAACTCTCACCTAAAGTGAACACTGTCTGTTTTCCATATGGAAGGTACTATGGACTATTTTCATAGTTTCTAAGTTGCAAAAATTGGAGTGAATGTCACATTTTTAAGTTACTGTGTTTTTGTGTGTGCGTCTAGGGTTTGGCATGGTCAAAATAGACCTGAGAACCAAGTCATGTAGTGGAGTGGTAAGTACCTAATATATTTTCTGTAGCCTGTAGATGTAGCCTGATTAACTGGAAGGAACCTGTTTAAAAATCAATGTTTAGCTTAGATATGTGAAGCAGCGCACTTTTGGCTCTGTGCCCTCCTCCTGACAGCTTCGTCCCACTCTCAGATTTCAGTGAGAATCCTCACTCAGCCACGTAGGCCTTACAGTGTGTGCCATGTTGTCATGCCCTCAAAATACGGCACTGAAAACTTGACCTTCGTTGTACTGGGTTCATGCAAGTTTTGTCACCCTTTTACAAGAACAAATTAATTTTAGTCTGTCCCTCCATGATTAATTGAAGCAAATGTAGAAATAAAATGCACACAGAAATTAGTGTAGTGTGTTTTTTTTTTTGGTTTTTGGTTTTTTTTTTTAAAGATTTTATTTATTTATTTTTAGAGAGGGAAGGGAAGGAGGGAGGGGGAGAGAGAGAGAGAGGGAGAGAAACATCAATGTGCAGTTGCTGGGGGTTATGGCCTGCAACCCAGGCATGTACCCTGGCTGGGAATCGAACCTGCCACACTTTGGTTCGAGTCCCGCACTTAATCCACTGAGCTATGCCAGCCAGGGCTGTAGTGTACAGTTTTTATTAATGTTCATAAAGTCTTTTTTTACTGGAGATTAAGAATATAGTCAAAGATACGCGTACATATTTTTCAAAGCATCATTAACCAGAGTTTTTTACTCAGGAAGTTTCAGCAACTAACGATACATTCACCTCATATTCTGATTTCTCCTTATTTGCTGTATCTTTTTTGGTATTACTTATTTAAACCAGTGCAAATTTTATTTCTAGATATACTGATTTAATTAGAGGGGCAGGAGGCATGTGGAATTCTTAACGATACTTTGTCTCATACTGGGTATAATCATGGTTTGTCACTATCATTCTTTCCCTGGGTTTTCTAGTGATGAATAAATACATACGCAACTATCCTACTAGGATGGGCGTATTGTATGTCGTTCTGTTAAAGTAGAAATGTTACACTCATTTTGAGTAGGGTTTCAGAATTTGCTCAAGTCAGGTTTGTTCTGCAAAAACCATCAACTAAAATTTTACCTCCCTTTCATGCTGCTGTGGTGTGGGAATATTCATTCAGATGGTAAGAAAAACAAAGCACATTTGTGTACTTATTTTTATGGCTGCTTTGGTTCCTGGTAATGATTCATGATAAATTATATCCACTGCTTCACATTTATTGCACTTTGATATTTTTATTGTATGCCATCTATTTAACAGTAACATTTTTAAGATTGTTTTGTTGCTTTCTAGCATTTAATGTAGAGCTGTAGATGTTATGTGCATGTTGTAAATATGTTTTGCACTGTTTGATCTAATTATGAAATTGGACAAAAGCAATTATAAGCTTGGAACTGAACTTAGAAAAATAGTAGCCTTCTCTTGAGAGTCATATCTCTGGTATTTTAAACTTTTGACAGAGCTTCAAACTAAGAAATAATGGTCATAAGGAAGAAAAGTAGACTGACTACTCTTTTACCTTGATTTTGAGCACTAAAATTAAGGTTTATATTTGCTGTACTTCCAAGTTTATGAAAGGTAAATGTAAAAAATAAAGCAGTGGGTAGTTGGATCTACTAGAAACTAGAAGAACACACCAGTCAAATTAACTAATTGTGTGAACTGTTAAACATGGTTAGCTTTTTATCATTTTTCACTAAGGCCTTGCCCTAAGTGTGCAGCATGATATTTTCTTTGAAAACTTTCTGTGTGGTGTTGATAAACAGATCAGAGTTTTCCAGTTGTTTCATCAGCCTAGAACCAGAGTTAGGGAGCATGGTATTTGGTCAAGGAGGGTTCATGTTGCAGGCAGTGAAATGAAACTGCTCAGGTCTGACAGCATTTCAGAGATGCTCTTCAAAAACAGGGCCCATCAGAATGGTTTTTTCTTGACAGTTCATAATTGTCAGTGACAGGTGTTGGCTGTTTGCTTCCCCCTGGAAGGATATCTTTTTCTCCTAGCTTCTTGTCATATGACTGAAATGACATCTAAGTCAGAAGGGGATCTATTTTAAGGCACTCATAGTAACTCTTTGATAGAAAGCACTTTAAAAAGATAGGTGGAGAAGGGAGAAAGAGGGATAAGTTATGACTTTGCATTTTGTTATAAAAAATGGATAGACACTTTCAAATAATAAAATTGTGCTTAAAGTTTTATAGATAGTTTTGTGGACAAAAGTAATAAAGTTTTCCTAACAATGAATGTATTAAATGCCACTGAACTCTACACTTAAAATGGTTAAAATTGTACATTTTATATTATGTATTTTATTACAATAAAAATAAAATTTAAAAAAGTGATAGAGTTCTGGTCTTATTAAAAGGGAGGAGGGAGGCTAGTGCGTCTTCTGATTTGGGAATTTTTAAGGACTTTAAAATTAACTAATGGTTTCTAATGATGGTAGAGAACTGATCATCTGTTTTAGGCCTTGGAAGTAAAATGTTCAAGTTTCTCTATTTCTGCTTTTTTAGTGAAGGCATTATTTTCAGTGAGGATATTTCTCTTTTAAAGGAGAGAATTTAAGATTTCCATTTAGTAAGAGTATACAAAACAAAAAATACCAGTAAGAGAGGTAGAGTAATGGAGGAGAGATCTAAAACTGTTTAACATATTTAGAGATTGGAAAGAAAGAAGGAAAGCAGGCGCTAAGTTGCTGTAGAGGAGGGCGGTGGTACAACATTGATCATACTGGTGTGTAGTGCACTGAACATTGCTTTCTGAAATGATCTTTTCTATTTGATGAGCTCCCTTTGAAGTAGTTGTTTTTTTATTGCTTAGGAATTTTCTACTTCTGGTCATGCCTATACTGATACAGGGAAAGCTTCAGGCAACCTAGAGACCAAATATAAGGTCTGTAACTATGGACTTACCTTCACCCAAAAATGGAACACAGACAATACTCTTGGAACAGAAATCTCTTGGGAGAATAAGGTAAAAGAAAGCATTAGAAGTTATTTGTATGTTAAATTTATCTTGCAGATAAGATGATGAACAGACCTCAAAATATAATCTGAACGAGATCTTACAACCTATCCAGTAGCCATATTTTTTCTTTGTACATGGCCTTCTTTGGTATGTCTTATGTTTCTAGAAAGTAAGGCTTTGTGACTACATAATTATCACTCTTTATTTTTTTTCTGAATTTTTCTATTTACTCTGTTATATTGGGTTGGCCGAAAAGTTCATTTAGGTTTTCCTGCACGATGGCTCTAGTAGTGCTTAGTTGTCTTTAACTTCATTTAAGACAATTTTGTTAAATTGTTTTGTGACAGCTGTCATATAAGCCTGCATTTTTTTTAAAAACTTACCAAAATTGATGAATTTTTGTGCAGCCATTTTAATATTGAAGATGGAAGAAGGTAATGCAACATTTTTGGCATATTATGCTTTATTATTTCAAGAAAGGTAAAATTGCAACTGAAATGCAAAAAAGGATTTGTGCAGTGTGTGGAGAAAGTGCTGTGATTAATCGAATGTGTCAAAAGTGGTTTGTCAAGTTTCTTGGTACAATTGACATTTTGGCCAAATAATTATTTGTGGGGCTGTCTTATGTATTGGAGGGTGTTTAGCAGCATCCCTGGCCTCTGCCCACTAGAAGCCAATAGCGGGAGATAGCTGACATACTCAAAATATCTAAATCAATAAAGTTATTGGTGAAAATGAAAAATGTATTTTTTACCTAAAACAGTAAACATACTTTTTGGTCAACCTAATACATCTGAGCTGCTGCTGGGCAGACCAAACTATTTGCAGTGATTTAGTTTTAATTTTATCTTGTAAGCATTGCAAAATCAGCTCCACAGAAAAATGTTTCTAAAGTTCTATAATGTTTCCCAAGAGAAAATCTGTCAGGTATTTGTGAAGGGTCTACTATGTACAGGGCACTATGTTTCAAGGTCTGTCTATATGCACATTACCATATACAGGTAGTATAAACGGGTAGCTGAATAAATAAGTTGGCTTATTAAATCAGTTTGTCTTACTAACCAATAAATTTTAAGAGAATATCAATATTATTTAGTTGTGTTGGGATTTTGTTGTTTCTGTGTTGTGATTTACGTTACTGGCTGGAAGAGAATTTGACCTTTATAGTTTAACCTGTGTTTTGGTGAAGGAATCATGATGATGAAGCCTGGGGGGAGGGAGGGGGATAAAGAAACAGGGAAGGGTGAAGAGGTAATTTATTAAATACAAATATTTGTCTTTGATGACTTTTTTTGTTAGGAAGTTTGAGAAAACTTTAGAATTGGTTTATTGAGTCAAAATAAGAATTAAAAGTTATTAATTATTAATTTTAAATCTTTATTTTTCAGTTGGCCGAAGGGTTGAAACTTACTCTTGATACCATATTTGTACCGAACACAGGGTAATTATCCAAACCATGATTTCTGAAGTGTTTTTTTAGCTTATAAGGAGGTTTTAAGATAGGGAGTTGAAATAAAAAGTTTTGATGCAGAAGAAGAGCTTTAGGAGGGTTGCCCTCAGGCAAGGCCTCTCTCTATGAGAGACCTTGTGTATGCAGTAAAGAGAAAGGAAGACTCCCTTGAGGAAGGTAAAATTTTTATTTGAAAATTGATTTGAAAGCCCTGGCTGGTGTAGCTCAGTGGATTGAGTACTGGCCTGTGAACCAAAGGGTTGCTGGTTCGATTCCCAGTCAAGGCATATGTCTGGGTTGCAGTCCAGGTCCCCAGTGGGGGTATACAAGAGGCAACCACACACTGATGTTTCCTCTCCCTCTCTTTCTCTCTCCCTTCCCCTCTGTCTGTAAATACATAAATAAATAAATAAATCTTTAAAAAAAAAATTGATCAGATGAACGAAAACATAAAGCTAGTCCAAAGAGGCACATAGTAGGAAAAGTTTAGTAACTAGAAAGGTTTGAGATTAGATATTTCTTAAGCTATTCTAAAGATTCATGTAGGTGGTATTTTGCTGAGAGTTTCTTAAGAAAACAGTGTAATCTCCTGGCTGTAGAACATTATCACAAGTAGTTCTGCTATTGACTTTCTTTCTTATCCTGTATAACTCCTCCCAACATTTCTGCTTCAGTTTCTTCTAAAAAATGGAGATGATAATGTTTCTTATCTGCCTATCATGGGCCAAGGCTATCAGAAGGACAAAGGTGCTAGATAAAGGCAGAATAGCATTTCTTAGCTGTAACAACAGGTGTGTCCTTCCTGCCATAACTTGAGTGATGTTCAGGACACACATTCTCTCATCAGAGGCCTGATTGGAACAGAATAGGATTATTAAGAATGGATTTCAGCATTGTCCTTCAAAAATGCATACTTTCTTTCATCTGTCTAACAAGAAGATACTCACCCTAAGGAAAATAAATATGCTTACCAAAGAGCATTAAAAAAAAGTAAACTTCTATTCATGATAGGTTAACAAGTTAAAAGTGAAGTGGCTTGGGTGTTGTTACCTTTTGTAGCATTTGGGAATTTGGAAATATTTAAAGGAATTTAGCTTATCATGATCCATGTGTATTCACATTATTAATTGGTACTGAAATACCTTATTCCTTTTTATAACTTTGTTCATACTTTCAAGAAATCATGAAATACCCTATCATTTGACCTTATAGTGAGGAATAGGTAAAAATAGTACATATATTCTAATACTAAGTCATTTGAAACATTTTTGCTATATGTGTGCCATCTACCACTGGGGGAAAGAGTCCAGGATCTTATCCTAAAGATTCCTGGACAGTGGTAGAAACTCCCATTGTTTACATTGTGTTGTGTTTGTTTTTCACAGAAAGAAGAGTGGGAAATTGAAGGCCTCTTATAAACGGGATTGTTTCAGTCTTGGCAGTAATGTTGATATAGATTTTTCTGGCCCAACCATCTACGGCTGGGCTGTATTAGCCTTTGAAGGCTGGCTTGCTGGCTATCAGATGAGTTTTGACACGGCCAAATCCAAACTGTCACAGAATAATTTTGCCCTGGGTTACAAGGCTGCAGACTTCCAGCTGCACACTCATGTGTGAGTATTTATAACTGATTCCTTCTTTAGTGCCAGTGCAGTCGCCCAAAAAGTTGGTAGCCATTAGCATGTTGAGAAGGTTACAAGTGATGGTAATTGCATTTAATATGCGTTGGAGGACATCCGACCTCACTGCACTGTTTTTATAGTCAGCAAAACATTGCCAGAGATTAGTGCACTTGGTGTGTTGTGCTGTGCTGCTGGTAGTTACTGGCTTCTCAGCCCCTACCGCAAACTCTTTGAAGTTCTAGAATCTGTAGAAGAAGCATTGGGATGGAGAGCGCCCAGGCCATGGGTCACCTCCTGATATAAGGGATCCTTTGGAGATGTTCCAGTTTTCTCTGGCGTCCTACGCAGCTTGGCAGTGTTTGGAAGTAGGTCTGTTTGGAGCATGAAGAACAACTGCCTAATTGACCTGAGCATTCTGGAACATCCCCTGTAATTCCCTGGAGGTTTTCACTGACCTTTGGTCAGAAGTAGCAGATCCTTAAAGCAATTCTGGGTTCAGTTCTGTAGGCTGCAACCCATTGGTGAAATGAATTTGAACTTCTAAGTTTTATGTCGTGGGCTACTAGGCATTGCTATTCTACTATGAAGAGAAAGCAAGGGATGAGCTGTGTATTTTTGAAGTGTTCCTTATTTCTCTTCACTAGACATTCTAATCCACTTATGCTGACTAGAAGAAAGTCATGCAGTGGTATGGGCAGTGGCATTAAAATTGATGAAAAAAGTATTCATCAGGAAAACCATGAAGACTCAGGGACTAACTTCTAGGATGCCTTGAAGCAGTTTAGGTACTTCTCTGGAGCAGTGCCTCTAGGTTTTGTAGGGAGGGTGCTTTCTGATTCTAGGACTCTGTTTTAAATGAAATCCAGAATTGGCATGCTTCCTATACTTGTGCCACTATGTATATATTTCTGTGGAATCTTTGTTGAAGTTTATAAGATCTGTGAACATCTCAGAGAGACCTATAGGTCATATTCACCTGAGGTGTCTGCCTTTGTGCATAACTTAATTGTGACTAAGTAGTTTATGTCATGTGGAGAAGCCAAGTAAATTAATTGAGTGTTAACTGCATTTTAATAAGGTGGTTAAATTACATAACTAGATTTAGTTCCTTATTTTATTTGGAAATCATTTATGCCAGAAGTTTGCTGAAACCTATAGTTGCAAAGTGATATCCTTGTTTTGATAGTTTTAACATTTTCCATATCATTAACAGTGGTACAAATTGGATGTTTATGACTTTTTCTTATACCATGAAAACAGGAATGATGGCACTGAATTTGGAGGGTCTATCTACCAGAAGGTTAATGAGAAGATTGAAACATCAATAAACCTTGCCTGGACAGCTGGCAGTAACAACACCCGCTTTGGCATCGCTGCTAAATACAAGTTGGATTGTAGAACTTCTCTCTCTGTAAGGATGTTCTACCAGACTGTGTCTGCTCTTAGGCTTTCACCTGAGTTAGTGATGAAAGCTGTGGTGTGGTTGTAGTTTGCGTGTTCTTTATTAACTTGAATGAGCTAGTCATTGTATAGTGAAAGGAGTGTTACATTTGAAGTTAGGAAATTGGGTTCTAGTCCTAATTCCTCCTGTGTTTGACTTTCTCAAGTCATTTTCTCTCTTTGGCCCCCAAATTTTATCTATAAATTCATGAGATTTGGTTACTCTTCCTGTTGGTGTTAGTAATTCTTAATAACACTGATTGCGCTCTTAAATATCAGATACTGTGCTAAAGGCTTTACATGTATTATTTCATTTAATTCTCACAACTACCATAGGTGGTGGGTAGTGTCCTCATCCCCGTTTTACAGATGAGGGAACTGAGGCTTAGGTCAGGTAGCTTATCCAAGGTCACACAATTAAGTGGCAGTGCCAAGATTTGAGCTAGGTCTGTCTCTCACCAGAGTTCATGTTCTAACCACTGTGAGAGGTTGTAAACTGGTATCTCAAAGAATTTAGTACACAGGGATATTTGGCTGCACAGTGTTTTAAAAATATTTCCTCTAAGCCTACATTCTCAAGGTCCCTTAAAAGATTTATCTTCTTATTAATTAAATTTTCAGTTTCATGCATTCTAGATCGGCCCTAAGGTGCTTTAGCTTGGAAATCAGATGCATGAAGTGGTCATACTGGACTTATAAGTTATAAAATTGACTGTTTTCTTACTGTTTGTTTCATCCCCTAACCTTAGGCTAAAGTAAATAATGCCAGCCTGATTGGATTGGGTTATACTCAGAGTCTTCGACCAGGTAAGTAAAGGAGTTGGGGTAGACGGTGATAGAGGAATAATGAAAATAACTGGTAAAACAACCTACAATCACTGTTGCCTTATTCAGGCCATTTTGTAACATTTGTTTGTTCATACAAAGTAAAATAAATCAAGTACTTTTGCTTAAAAACATTTTATGTATTTCTAACTATAACTTGGTCACCCTGGCTTGTAAGTTTGGTTGATCACTTATTATTCTTAACCTGAACTCCAAATAAAGTTTGCCATGATTAGGCTTTACTCAGTACAGATCAGATGATTACAGATAACCCTGTGTTAACTTCAGTAATAGCTGTATGCTTATAACTCTTGCACCCAGCTGTAATCCATGCCATTGACTCCACCCATTGTTTCTAGAAAATGCAGATCTGATTGTAATAGTTGTTACAAGTGATTGTGGTGTTTTCTTCTTCCTAGGAGTCAAACTGACCCTATCAGCTTTAATCGATGGAAAGAACTTCAATGCAGGAGGTCACAAGGTTGGGTTGGGATTTGAACTAGAAGCTTAATGAGGTTTTGAATAAAGCATTAGATTTCTCCCCGGAGATGAAGAGAAATGAACCCACTATGTTTTGGCCTTAAAATTCTTCTCTGAAATTTCAAAAGTGTGAACTTTTTATTCTTCCAAAGAATTGTAATCCTCCCGCACACTGAAGTCTAGAGATCATGAGTCCATCCTAAGGGAGGTGCTGGAAGGCATGCCTGGAAGTTGTCATACCTGTGCCACATTTCAGTTCAGCTCCACAGTATTATTTTAAATGTGATCCTCAGCGACAGTGTAGAGTCATGTTGTAAAGGAAATAACCTGATCCTCCAGTTTGTATATCACGTCCTGCATGTCCCACACTACTTTTTCATGACCTTTTAATATATTGATCTCTGTGCTGTAGTAGAGTCTTTGGTTTTGCATCAGAACAAAATAAAATAAACCCATCACATTTGAAAATAATCACTCATCTGACTTGATAGTGGTGGCTTGCTTATATTTGGTGTGATTTGCTTTGAAAAATACTTTCATAGATGGATTTATGCCTAAAGTGGTATGTCTAAAATATCTATACCATTGCCTAGCCCTTTCACTTTAGTTTACTTCTTATCGCTTCTCTGCACTCAGGCTGAAGCGTGAAACTGAGTTTTGTTCTTCTGGGCAGAAGCTCACCTGTTGAGGTACTTCCTTCCTATAGCGGTGTGATAGAGGAGTGTCAGTCGATAGTTTTGAGAAAAAGCAAGATGTGAGTGGTGAAAAGACTGGCAAAGGAAAGAGTACAGTCGGGGGGAAGTTCTGTAGGGAAGAAGGAGCTAGGAGGAGGCAAAGCTGGCGGAGGGCACCTCTGTGGCTCCTCCCAAGCCTCCAGAAAATGTTTTTGATTACTAGGTCTAGAGAAATGATAACCAAAGAATGGAAATACCGGTTTAGGAAAAAAATAGGAGTAGATTATGATCACGGCTTAATGGTAAGTCATCTTCCTTTCTAAAAGTAGAACTTCTTTTGAAAAAAATATTTTTTAAGCAATATATGCTGGTTGCAACAAATTCAGTCATTTCAGACATAAATAAAATTGAAAATAGCCATTCTTCTCTCCAAACCCTATTTCTTCTGCTACCACTAACAGTTTGATATATGCCCTTGCAGATATTTTTCAGTGTCTTTAGAAATTACATAAATGCCTATATATATTAAAATCCACATCTTGTTTCATAATATATTTTTAAATTTCACATACAGAGAGCCCTTTTGTTCATACACATCTGCCTCATGGTTTTTTTTTATTTTACACTGGTGGGTTGAACCGCCATTACTGGAGATAAAGTATAAGAGGAAAGGAAAGGGAGTGAGGGAGGTAAGAACAAATTCATTCTGTCCTGTTGACACCTGCGCCTGCCCCTGCATCTACTTGTCTTACTGGGTGGACTTTACACACAGCGTGAGGATGGATGGGGTGCCGACATCTCCTGTGCTGCACGTGGGGACCTCCTTCTGGTCTGGAGCGGAGGAATATGGCGTTCCAGTTGGTGGTTAACCACCGTGTGTGAGAGGTGTGTTGCTGTGGGGCGGTTCTGTCTAGTGTTAAGGGTAGAGGTCATACGGAAATACAGGAAACACTGAGGAAATGTACTTCTAATTTGTTGGCTATTTACCTGATGAAGTTGTGTTATGGCCTGAATTAAATAGGGAGAAAGTAGGTTTATGGTTTTTTTCCTTTCCCATGTTATCCCTTTTAAACTATTTGTTACTATAGAGCTAAAGAGCTGATTTTTTTGTTTGTTGATAAAGTAACCCATATATGAACACAGGCAGTTTAAAGTCAGCTTTTATTCAGTCATTTTATTGAGTTACCTAGCTGGCTAGGCCGTGTCCTAAATGTCCTTGTCATTGTGGGGGTTATTAAATTGTAGCAGAAAGTAAAGCACATTTCTTGAGCTTAAGTGCCATGCACTGTGCTGATAATCATATATATATAATGTAAATATTATAAGTACATAATCCATTTAATACTCAGTAGTAACTGCAAACATCAGAAAAAAAGCCAACAAGAAGTGCTCTAGGATGGTGCAATTCCTTATGGTTTCTCCAAATGAAAATTCTCAATAGCTCCCAGCTCTCCTCAGTGAAATGCACGTAAGCACCTTTCCCCGTTCTGCTCCCCTAGCTTTCTCCTTCCCTATCTCCCCTCCCATTTCTCTCCAATTGAGCCTTATAAGTCCTATGGCCACTCCCTTTATTTGATTTTAATTTTTTATATTGATTCATTCAGGACACTGTCTTGCCTTTTGAGTCTTACTCAGGATAATTTAAATGGCCTTCATCACAGCCTTATGAGCTTTTGTACCTGGGAGTAGAGAACTAACGTCCTAATATGTGTATTTAATGCCAGTAGATTCTTGGATTCAGTAACTCCACTCTTAGGGATTTGCCTTAGGGAAATCATCTGAGATACACAAAGATTTATATACAAGGTTTCTCATAGTAGAAATTGATAGCCATCTGAAGGATGTATATATACAATATCCATACCATACACAAATGAGGGTATGTATAGTAAGTGGAATATTCAGCCATTAAAAATGTTTTTGAAGAATAATAACCATTGAGGATTATTCACAATATGTTAAATAGGAAAAGCAAAGTAAAATACCTATTTTTTAAAGTATGTGCAAATACTGGAGAAAATGCTCCAAAATATTAGTATTCATGATCTTGGGAAGGTGGAATCATGAGTAGTTTTTTATTTTATACTTTCCTATATTTGTCTGGTGTTCTGAAGTAAATTCCATGTGTCTTGTCACTAGGGAAAACTCACGTTACTGTCTGAAAGGCCGTGGGCCGGCTGTGTTCTAACTGGTGGTGAGAGCACTTGGGGCTCCGCATGAGGTTTTTCTTGAACTTTGTAATAATGTAGTTCACGCATATTTTAAATATTAATTATTGCAGGAGACTAGGAAGACATCACAGCTAATCCATCATTATCCTCGAGCATCACTGCTCAAAGGGCAGAGGACAATAAATGTCCCAGAGTTTCATTAAGTTACTAAGTGTGTCATTGCAAGCTCACGGCCAACTTGGCCAAGCCTTGGGTCCTAGAACCGGGGAGGGAGAAGTCCAAGCCATGTCTGGGTCACCCTGCAGTGGTACCCACATACACAAACAAGAAGACCACTCTGCTTCCTACACACTGAAGACTATCCTTCCCTCCAAGCCTAGAGCCTCTGGTTGTGCGTGCTTTATGTGTCCTCTGATTGTGTTCCCTCTGCCTGTTCCCCGTTACCAAGCCCCTTTTTCTCTTGCCCTCCACTTACATGTTGGCATTCAGGTCCTACGCTCTATTCTTTAACTCTGCACCTTGGTGATGTGTTTGGAAAGGAGCCTTTTCAAATCACATCTGCCCATCCTTAGGTTCTGATATGCCTTGGGCCTTTGCAGAGTAAGGGTGGTCTGATAGTAGCACCATTTTTTTTTTAATTCAAGTACAGTTGTCTGCATTTACTCCCCTCACTTCCCCCCACTGATAGTAGCACCGGTCTTACTCGGATTTGAAACAGTTGTCAATTAGGACAATGTGTCAGTGGATGGAGGCCAAAAGCTTCACCTTTCCCTCTGAAGGCTCATTGATACTCTTGCTCTGGGTGAGGGACAGCAGTGCTGGACCACGGTAGGCTTTCTCCTGCCAGATTTGGGTGGTATGAAGGAGGGGAATTCTTGTGCTCTGAGGTGGTCTCTCTCCCAAGAAGAGGGGAGGAACTGACTCTAACATGCCTGGTTGATTCTCCCCAAGTGTACCAATCGTGCATTCCTTTCCTCCCGTGGAGGGACTAAGAGGGTAGAGAGAGGCCAAAGTATGACGCTAAGGGTGGTCCAGTCACTGGAAAGGAGACATTTAAGAACAAGGCACAGCTTTCACAGTGTGTGTTAAGCCATAGTCAATCTCTCCCTCCCAGAGATTCACCTTGTTCACTTAGGAAGTATATCCAAATCTTGGAGTGAGTGGAGTAGGTGCTTCATCACATCTTCCCGGTGATGTTCATGTACTTTAACTCTGCTCAGCCTTTGGACACTCCTGCTGTCTTCCCAGACAGCTGCCTCCTAAAACTCACAACTCCCAAAGCTTGTCTCCATCTGAGAAGGCTCTCCTGACCTCTAAACCTTTACTGCCAGCTGCCTGGTGGACACCTCTCTCCATAGTCTGCAGGCAGCTAAGGTTCACCATTTCCCAAACTAAACCAGCACTTTTACTGGGAATTTTGCAGCTAAATCTGTCTCTTCTTTGACAACTTCCTGACCTCCCCAAGCCATTCAGTGGCCCTCCCCCAGGGTTCCTCCCCTCTGTGGGCACATCCTTGTGGTGGCAGCAATTACACTGCCTTGTTCTTTTGTTTACTGTCTCCTCCTGCCTGTGAACTCCTGGAGGACAGTCTTTTGTCTTCCTACCTCCAGTGGTGAGGCCAGCACTTGGCACATGATAGGTACCCAATGGATGTTTGCTGAATGAATGAAAACGGGTCAGCCATCAGAGAGGGTGGGCTTGTTTGGCTTCCAAGTCATGGGGATTTCTGCATACAGATTGAGGTTCTCCTTTGGCATGCATTCATAGTTCCGTGGGGCCATCAAAGAAGCACAGACAATTCCTAGCAACTCTTTGAATTATGGTATGATTAACATTGTGATGTGACTTCACTGCGGCAATTTAGAAAGGTTCTGTAAAGGTGGTCATAATTGCAATTACACTTAACCCCACTGGGTGCCGCTGTTGCTGCCAATGAAAGATGATGGCTCGGCTGTGGGGAGGTCCCTGCCTTCTGCCCGTGAGCTCAGTCTGTCTCCTTTTGGGCTTCTCACTCCCTTCCCCAACACCTGCCTACTCATAGTTGGGAATCTTGACATTCAGCGTTTGGTTTAACCTTGGAATTTCAAGCCCCAAGGAAAGGCAAGGCAATTCTCTTACTCTGGTCCAAATCCCTGTTGCTCTTTGTTTTCTTCTGTTCCTGCCAGTGAAGATGGAGAACAGTTGATCACCCTTGTTGAGTCTGAAATTCCTTACTTAAATTCAAATTTAATTCCTAACGCTTCCTTTATAAACACAGAAGAAACCTCACCTTTCTTCCTGGGTTTCCTTTCTAAGTTCTTAATTACCTACCATTATTGCTTCTGAATCCTCCTCCCAGGCCTACCAGTCCTTTGTCTGGAGACCACAGCAGTGGACGCAGGCTGACAGCTGTCACACAGGAAGAGACTGACAGCAAGTCAGGAAACCAGGGGCCCACTCTGGCCCTGTTGCCATTTGACTGCCTCAACGTCATCTCATTCCGTGCCTTAGCTTCCCAGTGCCTGGCCGGTCCCAGGCATTTTAAAACCAGTGTTTCAAAAAGGGTTGTAGTGGGATGATGCAGTACAGGTGACCTCTTCCCTTTATCAGAGTGTGCTTCAGCTTTGTCTCACTGTCTTTTCAGTAA